AGTGTGTGTGTGTGTGTGTGTGTGTGTGTGTGTGTGTGTGTGTGTGTTTTTAAAAAGAAAATTTTCTATGATGAATTTATTTTTTGTGTAATTACCTGTGTTCTTTACCGTTGTACGTTTGCGACATAGTGAAATAAAAGCGAAACGGTAAAAAATGTTTATGATTTAATTTATTTTATTATATTGAAATCATTGTTTATTAAAGCCAATTCAAAGAAGAAATTAAGATTTATACGATCGAATTAGAGATTCTTGCGAATGCTGTGTCATTTAATTGCCAGTAGTTACTAAGCAGGAAACGCATATATTCTTTTATCTACATTTTTTACTGCTGTATCCTTGCCACGTAAAGTGTATCAAAATAAAAATGAAACTAAAAAAATTATGATTGAACGACTGTTTTGTACTGAAAAGGTTACGTTGATTAAGATTGAGATGCGTTATCGAATTAAAGATTTTTGCAAACGTTAAACATTACTAATTACATTATGCTAATTGTAGCGGTTAAGTCGAAAATATATTCTTCTTATACAGGATGTTCTAGAAAGAATTGTCAAAATCTTGAATGGCGAAAGAATGGGGAAAATTTTCACGAATGCAATATTGCAGAATTAACGTGTTGATTAAAAATGAAAATGAAGTACTTTCATAAATTATGTTTGTATAAAACATTTTCCCCGACAATGATTGATATTATCATATTTCGCCAAGTATGAATTTTCTTTTCTGAAACATCATGTATACGTACCTTGATGTACAAGATTGTGTTTTGCATACTAATGATGCATACGATGCAAGTGAGACAGAATACGTGTTGTATAAAACGTGTTGTTGCATTAGTCTATTTTTCCACGCCGCGACAAGGGGTGTCTGTTATAAATTACATCGTTTGCTCATTTAGTATAATTAATGTGCATTTTGCGCTCTTTTTCCAGAAGCTTGATATAAAATATTGTCGTGACAGTAATTTAGATTTCTTTGATTTCAACGAATAAATGAGATTATTGGTATTGATTTTTGTTGAGATTTATTTGTGCTCTGTCACGGTTCTCTGTTATTTCTATTCTGTTATTTCTATTCCTTATAAAAACTTATAATGTTAAATTTACATATGTTACGTAGCGTATCTTATATGTAGCGCAGTTTGTGGTAGCCAATACGATTATAACCAAGAAATTTTCCAAAGATCCTAGACTTAATTATCGATTAAAAAAGCCATTGCAATTATATCTATTATAATAATTGATCATGATGCCGTATGATATCGATAGATATGGATGACATGCGATTATTAACAGAAGAAACGTAAAGTTACTATTCCAATATATTCTTGCCGGCGCAATTAGATCGCAATCGAAATTAATATAAAAAATCTATTTGTTTGAGATTTCATATCATTATCATAAAAATATGTTATATTTATAACGAGTTATAAATCGTTGAGACGAATAAGATACGCAGCATTTGAAATCTTCAATATTTTCAAATTATAGCTTAGGTGAAATCATTTACTAATGCCATGTAATTTTATACCTTTGGCCAACTTAAAATCATCAGAAAAAATGATAATATAAACGCCCGATAGATTTTTTTACAGTCTCTTATTTATTTCCACGTGGAATTAGTTTATAGATAAACGATATCCTAGTTTGAGTTGATCAACTACCTTGACGACATTTATAATTGGTTACTTAATATTCAAGAAAATCATTCATCTGAGTCAACGATATAATTTTCTGTTATAAATTATCATCAGATAAGAAGCCGATAGGAAAAGAATTAATATTATGACATTTTAACAATTGATTAGTCCTTTTAAAAATTGTTCTTATATCGCGTTTTAGAATGTCACATTAAAGATAATTGAGAATAATTAAAATGTGAAACGTTTTTTTTTTATTTTATATCTAGAATCTAAGATAATGAAGTATAGCTTGAATATATAATAACATAATTTCAAGAATTAGAAGGTTCAAATCGCGTGTTTTTTGCAATATCTTTGTTCTTAAAACATATATCTTTGTTACATTAATTACTAGGCTTGTAGCAAAAGTAATAATTGGAATAATATAATATATACTTGTTTGATTTTGAAAAATAAATACAAAAGAAGAATGTTATGAAGAATATTATTTTATTTTAAATATGTAAAGAATATGTAAATATATAAATATATAAAATATGTAAAATATGTAAAATATATAAAATATGTAAAATATGTAAAAAGTTGCTTCATATTCATATTTTTTATATCCAATAAAATTATTATAATATTTTGTGTAAGAAATATCTAAGAATTTATGTACCACACACGTAATAAAAAATTTTATTTTTACAAAAAATAGAGAAATATATGTATGTTAAAATATAAAATAAGGCATAATTTTTATCTTTCAAAAGTTTGGAATTTTAACCTTTGCAAAATTTTGAATGTATAACGATTTGTGTGTATAATATATGTTTATACCATTAAAATGTTTTATAAAATACATAGATGTAAGAATAATCATTGATACTTGTTTTAAATTAATACGTTCATTTAGCTAATGTATGTTTTATTTCTATAGTAAAATCATATACAATGACAAAAAATTGCATAATTAAAAAAGATTATATATTCATATACAATGTGTGATTAAACGCACATTTTGCTTTACATTGTTTATTTCCATTCAGTATCTTATATTAAATAGCATATAAGCATTTTAAGAAATTTCATTTGCAGAAAAAATTAATCAAAGTAATGCAATTATTATTTCATATATAAATCAATATAATCAATATAACATTCTTATGAAAATTGAACAATCTCAAAATTTCGATATAATAATTTTATTTTAGTATTAATTTAGTATTAAATATTATATTTTAGTATTAAAAAGCTGATAATAATAATAATAACAATAATAATATCTTTTTCCGACGTTTCAAAAAAATCTCTTCGAGAAGATGCAAGTATGTGTATTTCATTTATGTATTTATTTAATAACATAATTAAATTACTTCAATGTAAAACATTAATTTTAATTTTGATTTTATCAGTAATTTGATATTAATATTTTTGAAATAAAATTAAGAATCGTTATTATAAAAACTCTTAATTTAGTTTAATAAACTAATGAATGACAATTTCTAAAAATAAAATATAATTAAATAGAAATATAATTTAATTTTAAGAACTTATAGTTTTTTTATTAAAGATAGTATTTTAAATTCAAATATTTTTTTCTCTTAATTTATAAAAATTCTTATTAAATATTGAGAATACTTATTAAATATTGAGTATTGTTTTTGGTAAAATTATATGAAATTTCTTTTTATTATTAATAATATATTTTGACGTTTATATCTGCTAAATATTGTACAATTTTAATTTAATATTTACGTCAAGAATACAAATGTTTTCAAAACAAGAATATTTTTTTTTGTTATATGCCGATTATCACACACAGAATTAGTAAGATGCGAAGGCGCCATTGTTTACTGACGGTTATGAATGACCACTATCATAAGTAACAATCTGACGTTATTTACTATCAAAATGATGTCGTAAATATGACAATAAATAATGTCAACTATTTGGAATAATAATGAATAATTTAATTATAAAAGAGAGAAGAAGAAAATCAACAGAAGAAATAAAATCAACATTTGAAGTATGTATACGAAATGAGATTAATGAGATTTGATTTATTTCTATTGACTTATAATTGAAATACAGAAATAACAAATACATCAATGCAAATAGCAAATACATCTTACCTGCGGAATGGCGAGTACAAAAGACAGTACCCAAGTGAGAAGGACGAATCGCGAGCACTTCTGAGACGAATTGAGACCCTTCATGGGATATCGCACCGCGACGAATCGATCGACACCGATCAGCACCAGTACAAAGGTACTCAGGTACAGGCTGAATACTTGTAGGAACTTGAAAATCTTGCACGCGACATTGCCCCACAGCCACGCGACATTATAACTCCAGATCGCGTCACCAGCGAGGCAGAAGATGCTGACCAGCAGGTCGGCCACCGAGAGATGAAGGATCAGCGTATAGATCGTCGAGCCATGATTCTTTCGGCGATTTTTTATGATTGAGTATATTGTGGCCAAGTTACCAATCAAACTTAAAACCGATATAACTGCTAGCACAATAACTTTGAGGAATACCGCTTGGGTGAGAGTCGGTGCGTGTTTTAGACACGTGGCATTATTGGAGTTATACAGAAACTCGGCCGTACGTTCGGCGAATACATCCTGGCCGAAATTGGTGAGGTTATCGCAAACTGGCAAACTGATGGATAGATCGCTGGTGTTCGACAAGTTACCGCTGATCGTCGGTAGGTTCATCGTTCTCGGCATCGGCGTCGGCCGCACCTCGTTTTTCTTGGACGTTTACTTCCGATTCATCGGAGATACGATATCGACGATGTCGACGAACACGTCTCCGTTCTCCAGCGGAGTCGCACGATCATCTTAAGAGGTGAGATGCATGTTTCGTGGGGGTATTCAAAGTGGGAAGGATGATCTCAGGGATCTTGTTAAGCCTTGTCTTTTTTTGGGGCGCTCTGTCGACTCTTCTTCTCGTATGATTATTTTGCTTTATGTTTACTGTTTACGCGACATGGAGAGCGACGAAACAATTTCTGTCTTACGTAAAGAGATATCGTTGATCCGGCTAACAAAAACTCGACCAACTCAAACAATTAGAGAAAGATGTCTGAAGGACCTTTTCATTCTTTATAAAAGAGCCTTGAATAATGCATAACAAATGCATAACGCTGTAATAACTTAGACGTAAAAGCTGGATTTGGATCGCTTATCAAAATTCAGATATGCCAGATAAGTTCTTGGATATTTGAAAAATCTGTCAGTAACAATGAAAGTTGATTAATTAAAGAATTTTAATTGGTATTTTTTAACAAATTCCCAAATCTCTTACTAACTAGATCATTTTATATAACAGTTTCAATTTTATTAAATTGAATATCATATTTTTAATTAAATTTTTATAACAATTTTTTCTTTAATCGTATTTTTTGACATCGTGTGTAACATCAAAAATTGATAATAATAGTTACATCAGTTTATCTCATTTGAATGATTTCAAAGATTTATATTTATTTTGAATTATTTTATTGATTAAAATATTTTTTACGATGCCTATAAGAACGAAAGAAAAAAATATAATTAGAAAAATATAAATTCTTCATAATTTTATTAAAAAATAATGTATTTTAATTTGATTAAATTGTTTAGATTAGTATAAATTAAATTAACCAAGTCTACTATGAATAAATCAATGTTTTCAGTTTGTCATCTTGACAACCAGCAAATAATTCAAAGTAATTTGATCGACCTTAGATTATGCATAAGTTTTTTTATAGCGACGTGAACTGGTTTCAATAAAAAAATAATGAGATCTCAGACCTTGAACATTCTCGTATATCTATTGCATGTTGTTGTCCTAAGAAACCTAAAATTAAACGATTCATCAATTAACTTACTGTAATATCTTTTTTATCAATCTGACTATAATTTTCAGAAAACTGCATGCATAGAAAATATATATTTTACAGATATATATATATATATATATATTGCTTATTTCTATTTTATATATCTTTACATAAAATAAAGTTGTATGAAGTTGTCTCGATAATCTTATTCCTCAGTTAAAATCGTAATTTTTCAATTAAAGAAGAAAAAACATAGTTTTAAACCATAGTTTTAAAACATTTTGCGAAAAGTTGTTGAAAATAATATGCATACAATATAATCCTTGCAAATTTGTAAATAGCTATTCGTCGTATTTTTCCAATAAACAGCTATTTTACATTTAATACTAATAATACATCTAATACTAATTCTTTTGAGAAAGTCACAGCTTTTCTTTGACGAATATTTATATCACATAAAATAAATTTGTTATACACAAGTTGTTATACACAATGAAGTTTCTTTCTTCAGACACTTTCTTTGTTGATTGATAGAGAATTATTTTCTACTTACACCACGTAGGTTTCTTGAAAATCGCACTTGAGAATGATCTGTTCATATTTTTAATACCCACTAATTGTCGTTTATAAGAAAATTATTTAAATCGCGTATAATGATGTTCTCACGAATAATACACTTTCTTCTATTTCATCTTTCATCTTGTTTATATAGCACTTTTGAAAGCTTAATATAAGTATTTTAATATAAACTTGGCACGCGAAATGAGAATGACGATTCGCGTGTCTCGTAAAAATAGACGAACATGACTGCGGTTCTGCTTTGACAGAATTTCTTCGGAACTATATATTGTTTTACGCGCACGCAAACGTAACGACGATTCATTCGCAACTGCGTAAACTCGACTGATCGATGGAAAATTAGTGCGACATTACCACGCTTGCTTCATCGCAATAACTTCCCTCGTCACCTTGATCTTTTCATCCGCGTCTATACATTTCGTTGAACGGTCTAAATTGAATACTTATTGGCAAATTTGTCTTAGTACATTGCTCTACAAAAGAAGCGTTATATGTCAAGTTGCCGATTTAGATCAGTGACACGTGACTTTGTAACACGATGCAATAAGAAGTATGAAGTGCAAAAGGTATATGTGCAAAAGAGAGAATGGAAGATATATTTTCCTAATTCGTATTACTTAATAATATACTTTCAGTATTAAGCGCGTAATCTCTTTTTATATATTTCAACGAAAAACAAAGGCGGAGGTTTTCAGGACGTGATCGCAAAACAATGCAATCATGCAAAGTTATTTCCGCAAGCGTTTCTACGCTTCTCGCTCTTCGTTTTCTGAGTATAGCTGTTAACACAGTTTTTCTTTAAGCACAGTGAACTTTGACCGATACAATTCTTTCTCGATGCCGAATGAAATGCATAAACACATGTATATTTTCTAGATAGAAATCGATTTGAATCAGATTTTATTGTAATTGATCAAAATCTTTTCGATTCAGGGATAAAGTTCAATTGATTGAAGTATCTTTAATTGTATAATCATCTAAAATAGAAAATTGATATATATTAAATCTATTAAATACACAGATATGTTAAATTTAATGTACTTTAAGTTTTATTTTTTTTGTCATTCTTATACAACTTCCAAGCTTTTATTGAATACGGAATTACGTTTATATTTACAAGTGACAGAAATCGACAGAAATTGTAGTTAAAGAAGGAAATTTTAAATATTTGAAAAAAAAAAGAAAAGAATGAGTAAAATGGAATAAGAAAAATTCCTTTTTCTTTATTTAGTAACTTGTTGTTTTGATAGATAGCGCTGATTAAATATACATTTATATAAGTTTTTATACGTGATTTCATTTCTTTCTCGTGAGGATTCTTCCTATCATAAAAGTTTTTAAAGTACATATTATATAATACGGAAAGAATGTTAAAAATTTTATTTGTCTTCCTCAGAAATTCTTTTTTTACTAGAACTCATTACTAGAACATAACAGGCGCGCGCTACACGCGCACCACTAAGTTTTTTATATTATATATTTTTATATTATTCGTTAATGACAGCCATCGTGATGGAAAAATAGAAACTCATTCATTCTTGTTCATCTTATCTTTCCTTGTTCAAAAGGTTTCGATTCAAAGTTTCATTCGCTACTAATCTCGCCCGTTTTTTTACAAATTGTCATTTGCAAATTGACAAATGGTCATTTGCAAATTAATTCAAAAAATTAGCGCAGCGAAAAAATCAATCAGCATCGCGGAAAAGCGGCAACAATAAACTTCGAGAAATGCGAGTAATCTTAACATCTCCTTTTTTATAAAGGATTACAGTAATATTTTTCAAATTTTATTTCTTATTTCACATATTTTTAATTTAAATGTATCTTAATCTTAATTTTGAGATGCTGTCTTAATCTCAATAGGGAAATCCCATTAAATTTATTTACATGCGATAAAAATTCTCGACACGCGACAAAGCAATTAAATCAAAGATTACTCTTTTATATAATTTGCTTATACAGAAAAAAATAATAAGACATTTATTCAATAGAATTATATATCTATTTCAATAAAAATCTTTTCTAATTATTAGAAAGTAATATTTCATAAATGTTATTAATTAAATAATTTTAGTTTGGAGGTTATTAGTCGTAGAATTATCTTAATTCTTCTTAATTTCGTAGAAAATCTCATTTTTAAATTTGTGTTTTGTGATATCATCATTGTCTGCGATCTACGACAAAACGATTAAATCAATAATTAACATTTATGTAACTTGTTATTTGCGTGCATGTTGTGTGTGTGAATTTTACGAATTCATATCTAATACATGGAAGATAATAATACTATGCTTATTATTTTTCGTTTTTTATCTTTTTCCTACTTGGTAATAAAAATAATATCCTAATAGAACAAGTAGCGAATACAGTTGAACTTTTTCCGTCTTTGGACGTAATGGGAAACGTAATGGGTAATTGGAATACACAATCAGTATAATCTTATGGAATATAATAATAGATATCTAATCAAATCACAGCAGATATTCTTAGCGAAAAAGAGACTCTTCGTCGTGGTCAAGAGTTTCAGAACGATAAACAGCTGGCCTCCCTCTGTATATTAATTTCGATATACAATCTTTATGTACAATTCCAATTTCTCAAAATTTATTTTTCCGTAAGATTTATAATTTAGATTAAAAATCTGTATTTTACTGATAAACAAAACGATTACGAATATAAAAGCGTTTATTACATCTAAATTATAATTTAAATATTTCATTTATTCAATATTATTTTTATTTATCCGATCAATATTTTCTAAGAAAATATGTTATGCATATATATCAGTTTTGTACTGATATACATACATGGACCTTAATTCCAATGCCAATAATATGAATTTTACACACGTATAGAAATGTCAACGGTACGCAAACGTGTCTTAACACTAAAAAATAACATCCCTCAGTCACATTTTGAAGGGTTCGCTGCTTTAAAAACAGGCCTTAGATGATATAAGACACAGAAAGATAGCAGCTCCACTAAGATGGCTGCTTTAAGAAAAATATGAGAATTCAGCTCAGAAATATCGAGGAAATGGAATAAAGTCTATAATATTTTTATTATAAATTTTTATTTTGTTATATTAATAAACAGAATTATTTAAAAAATAAATATATAAACATATTATTTAAGAAATAAGTTTTTCCATTTTATAATGTAATTCTTTTAATTATCCTGAAAAATATTCTTTATTCGAACATTTTCCCCGATTGTTTAAATAAAAATAGAACTCTACTGTATATTGAATTTATATTAAATTTGAAATTCTGGAATAGTTTTATTAATATCAATTTAATGTATTATTTTATCATTTTTAACTTATATTGTAATCATAAATTATATAATTTATATTATATTTATTATTTTTATAATTATAATATATTTTTTTTTAATTTGAAGAAGAACAATAAGGAAAAAATTTGCAAATTTATAATGTATGTAAAATTGTTATTTTACATGTATTTTAAACTTTTATTTCTCCCCGTAAATTTATGGGAATTATTACTTTCCGTGAATAAGTAAAATATTTATGTCTTTTTATGTTCTCCTCTATATTATAAACTAAACTGAAGACAGAAAAATTACGCATTCAGTGATAGGTATGTGTTAACGTAGTGATATTTCTTAATTCTATAAGAAACCAGACATCGAAGTAAATTTGCATCTTTTTATTTATTGATACATACTTTAAGCTACCTTGAAATCTATCAATGTCAACTTATGAAATATATCTTTTTCTTTATAATGCTACTTTTTTGATAAAGAAAATATTAATACAAGTAAATTTGCATATTTATGTTTGAATCTGAAAAGTTACATGGGTTTTCGTTTTTTCCTATCTATGACCTTTTATATAAAAACATATAATGTTTAGTTAACATTTTTTAATATTTGCGTTCTTTTTTGCCTCGCGTGTACATCAAGCCAACTCTTCTTTT